TTATTTTTACAGGATATAGAAACGTTTTATCTAGAAAATTTCAAATATAATAGCGTGAACATGACGGCCTTTCGCTTAGTGGATCTCGAAGAGTCTAAAGTTGCTGAAATACTCAAGCAAATGGAACGTTTCCAACCAGCGATTGGACATGCCATTCTGAACAAAACGGGGGTCATTCAGGTTGGTGGAAATTTCAATACAACAAAGAATTAATGCTTTCTTCAATAACTTATTGTTATAATATTATAACAATGTTATAATATTATAATATAATACAATGCGTTACAGAGATTTTTATAAAATTTTGAAAATAAACTCACTCGTAAAATTATAAACAAAACATTATTCTCTTCAATCTCTCTCTCTCTCTCTCTCTCTCTCTCTCTCTCTCTCTCTCTCTCTCTGACGTAAAATATACATTATTTAAAACAGACTTAAGATTCAATGAGTGCTATAGAATACTGTTTAAGAGCATAATATTTCCAAGATTTACAATAACAATTAATTACGTGAGTACAAAATGGTAGATGAATTTATATGGTACAAGCTAGCTTCGAACAAATATAGACTAAAAGCAGAGAGAATTGAAAAGTCGAATAGACCGAATTGGTCAGCAGAGCTCTGTCCAGTTCGAGCTTTGTCAGCCCTTCAGTAATTAAGTGAGTTTCGCCCGCGGCCAGCGCCGCAATGTCATTAATTCGGATCAATTGAGTGCACTAAGCACGGTTTTCTCTCAAGGACTTCGAAGATGGCCAGCCCATCTGCTGAAATAGCTAAGTTTACTTCTCCAGAGTTCCCTCCTTAATATGAGAACATATTAATATGAGAAAATCGATATATTTAAATTTGTTCCTTCTTAAGTTTTTTTCTCACTAAAGCTATTTTAAAATCTTATCAAATTTTAAATTCAACAATTATTAAATTGAAGATATATCAATTTACAATTTTAAATTAAATAAGAAGCAAATTTTTGTGTAATTTATTTTAAGTAAGATCAGTGTTTCATATTGAATACATTTAATATTCTATCTTACAAGAACGAACTTTGACTGTAAAATGAAACAGAATTTTTGATTTCTAACAAGTATGAATAATAATCGGCCAATCATTAAGCTACAGAATTAAAAACGAGTTTCATTAAAATTTAATCACAATTTAGCACAATCTATATTTGCATCAGTAAGTGCTGGTAAAAGTTTTGTCCATGTAACAATTCGAAAGTTGAAACTAAAGTTTTTCGTACAATTCTCAAAACACGAACTTTCATCAAAAGGAAACGTATGTTTCAGGCAGAACCAGCTTTGGTGTACGACAGCGTGCAGGTTTTCGCGCACGGTTTGGCAGCTCTGGACCGTAGTCACGATTTAAGACCAGCAAATCTGTCCTGTGAGAAAGAGGAACCATGGGACGACGGTTTATCACTCTACAACTATATTAATGCCGTACGTATGTTCTGTGAATTTTCAAGCGAGCCGTTAGGCAGACAATTATTGCTAGTGACGCGAGTTTTCATATGCAATTATTTCAGAAATATCTTACATTCCTTCCTTTAGAAAAGAGAGAGAGAAAACATGTAATAAAATAATTGAAAATTTCACTGCAGATACACAATATCTGTTTCTTACAAAATAATGGACTTTTGTTATGCTTCGCTTAATGACTGAAATATAGTTTCTCCTACCAACTTGGCTATAGTTTAATACCTTTAATTTATACAAAAAATTAAAAATAATATATATTATAATTTTGTAAAAAAAATCTTAATCTAAATATCAATTGAAAATTTTATTATAAATAAAAATAGACTTTTTAAGATAAAATTACTAATAACTACTTATTAATATTTAAATATCGAACAGCGTCAATGTTACTAAAAAAATTTTTAATGCAATTTTTAACATTAATAATCCGCAAACAAAAACAGAGCAAAATAATCGATCATGATGTGCTATGCACATAGTCTTTATATTTTGATATTTTTAAAGCTAAACAAGGAAATTCCGAATATTTCCGCGTTATTTTATTTTAATCCGAAATGTGTAAACAACAAATATTTACTCGAGTCTTCTTTTTCAAAATTATATATAATATATATAATTGATAATATCCAAATTTGCAAATTATCAAAGAAAACAAAATATTTTTCTCAAAATTTTTATATTAAGTCAAGTATTATATAATTGTATTGCATGGTTAGAATAATTAAACGAAAACATGCATTGCAAGCTTTAAAGGTAGTATTGTTTTACGCAAGAGAAATATTTCTAATCCTTTCAAAAATAGAGAGAACGATGAACTAAATATTTTAATTCCACAGCTTTTACTAACTGCAAGTCACTGAATTATAGCAAAAGTAGAAAAGGAATATACATAATATAATATAATAATACAATTTTATAAAATTCTATAATTGTATAATTTTAAGAATTATAATTTAACCTATTAATTATTAATTTATTACCTCTTATTACTTCTAATCTTACAGATTTCTATTTACTGTTAATATTAAAAAACGAGTTTACAGGGTATATACTAACTTCTTAATAAAATGCTTTTTCAAGAGCTTCATCAAGGGCTTCTTTTTTTTTCTGTCACAGGTTGATTGACTGAACGTGACTTAACTCTCTAAAGTAATTTAAACTCTACTTACATATATTCAGTGCTTAAGGAACTATTAAAGCTACTTATACTCCATTTTGCTTTTACGATCTCTTTAAGCTTTTAAAATTCAATAATAATCTTTTTGTTCACAAATGACAAAAATTCATAATTCATAAAAATCTGAAGATACAGAAATAAACGTAATATTTACACAATATTTACATGAATAAAACGAGTCTCTTTCTTATTATTTACAAATTTAAAGAATTATAGTCTGGCGAAAGTATTAAAAACGTTAAGTTCAAAATCGCCACACATCTTTTATTACATCACGGAAAATTACAATTCTCCGAGACAAAAGAAAATAGTAAAAAATTGCTATCATCTTGACAATCGAGAATTGCTCTTCGTTGCCTCTCAGAGATTCGTAGTCGTCCAGTGATAAACCGCAAACATATATGCAGAAGGCAATGGAAGGAAAGCAACGTTGACACATGAATAATTGAACAACGTATTTAGCAAATAGCTATGTCCCGAAAGCCTCACCTCGAGGCTTTCTCCTCCTTTAGCCACTATGGTCGCGCTTTCCATGCACGGCGACCATCCCGAATGCACGACCGCGTCATACGAGAGACACGTACGTAAACTCGCGCGTACGTGCTGCCCATGACTTAGATCCAGCGTGTAGCACTAAGTTTTATTACCCGAGTGCTACCGACACAGGACTTCCCTATTAGATGCGACAATGACAAATTAAGCGGAGCTTAAAGCTTCGTACCTGAATATTTTCTTATTAGCTGAGAAATCCTTAAATTTTTCGGAATATTATATCCGCGAATAAGAAATTCAGATATTATTCATAAATTAAAAATCTGGACCAAGAGGGATCTCTCTTTACATTTATAGAGATTTATTTAAAATTCGTAAATTGGAATATTGTAAGATATGAGACTTTTAGATCTTTAAACAAGAAAGTCCTTGAACTTTTACGGTAAAGTGATTGTTGAGGGAAAGCAGAAATCGCGTTTTGATAGTGGTGTGCAGGGAGGAAAAGCAATTTAATACTACTCTTTATTCTGTTAAAAGTAAATAAAGATTACTTGGCTTAGTTAAACTAAAACGGAATTAAAATGTTGATTTTTCACCGTATTGTCCATATTGCTTTCATTAAAAGACTACAAAAAGCTGTTATTGGTACCTAATCGTGCCAATGTTGATGTGATTATTTTCTTTATTAAGACTAAAATTCTATGGGTACTTATAACAAGAAACTTTTCTCTATTAAAACTATATGTGTACACCGTCAATTATATTATAAAGTTTATAAAACGATATATAGTTTACTGTGTAACGCCGAGGGCTAAACCGAGAAAGTAATTCAACCACTAATTGAAATGTTGTCCCACAGATTATATGATTTTATTTAATTTCATATAATTTCATCTGAATACAAATAATTTTTTTCACTACGCATATAAAGTCATTTGGTAAAATGTACGCTTTTATTTAATATTATACACAATGACTTCTCGTGGTTGCATATGTAATTATCGGATTATACATAGAGATTTTATATAAATTTTATAATTATTTCGAGGACTGTGTCTCATGATTACATTAAGTGATTACCCCCTCGAGCCAAACTAACGGACATCATGGAAAATGTACATCCTTCTATTCGATAAATAATATGTATAATTAATAATGCTTGCCATATTGAGAAATTATTTTCAAACGACTGATATCTCACAGTTATCTGGTTATACAATAATGCGTAAACAGTAATTCAACACATAACAGTATTAACTCAAGTACATAGCTACCATAACATTTTGATGAAAAGATGCAATAAACTACAAAATCATTTTCATTAATATTATATTATTGAATAGCGTTAAACGTATTACGTAAAATATTTATTACATAAAATAATATAATTAAGAGTATTAATAAAATCAAATAATAATTTAAAATATTCTTTCGAGAAAATTATTAAATTTTCTTTTTAATCTGGCATTATCTTTCGCAGAGTGTTTTATAAACGATATTACGTTTAACGTATCAATATAAATCCGATATGTTAAGCTCATAACGTCGGATTTTAAAAACAGTTACATTATCGGAATGGGAAGCATAACGATGCGCACCGTTTCATGTGTCACAGAAATTTATATAAGTTTACACAAAGACGGCTTCTAATTGTGTTGTAAATAATTCCTGTAACATTTTCTTTTACGCGGTATTATAAAGTTTCCCTTTTTCTACGACGGCAAAAAAAAAAAGAAAATTAAAAGTTTATTATTAAGAAAAGTTCAGATCTCCGGAATAATCGAAAACGTGCGAAAATGAAAGAAGGCGACATCGATAAGTCGTGACAATTTTTCAAAATTTTGTCGCAATACAGTCACAGGTTTTTAGCAGTATATCTTCGACAATTGTCGGCGAGACGGAAACGTGATATATGGCGATATATAAACTGTATCTTGTGTATCGTTTAGTCTCTTGCAATCTTTTTATTATCTGGATGCATTGCTTCTCGGTTAAGACGTACAACGTTATCAGGCAATAAAAATATGTTGAAAATAAAGGAAAAAGAAGAAAAGAGAGAAAAAGAGAAAAAGAACTTTGCCGTAGAAATTATGAAAGTTCCCGGTAAGTCTGCTTACTCTATTCCTTTCACGTAGCATCTACTCGTTCGTAAATATCAACGCGCTCTCGTCTCGTGGCTGGGGTACTTTCCGAAACGTCGCTGCACCGTATCGGTTATCGACGTTCCTTTCATGTTAAATCCGAAATAAATAGCGTGCTGCGAAGAGATAGTATATACTGTGCGCGTCTACACTATCGCGGTTACATTCCGCGTATGCATTTAAATCCTGTGCGACGGTAAACTGGCAGCTTCCGACGTGACCATATCCTATTAACGAAATAATCGTGTCCGCCATTTCTGCCGTTCTGTGAATAACTGTGTAAATAAATGAGCAATCTGGTAAATTATCAATGCGAACATATTTCTAGGTAAAGTTGAGCGGATAATGACTAGCTTAACATTTTAAGCCGGTATTACCATCATAGTATTTAAATTAAACAGGAAACCATTTAATAATTTTATTACAAAAAAATTAACTGTCGATCTAAATTTTTTATCACCAAATATTCTTTTTCCACGTAACATATAATATATATATACACATTTATTTATACGTCATGTGACTGTAATATAATGTTAGTTTTCCGCAAAATGTAATAATATATGTGTATGATATTAATTATTTTATAATTCTGACAAATTTCACATATTAATTTACGCTTAAAAATCTTCCCAAACTTTACATCGTTTAAGCAACTTGAGCTGAGCACTGAAAGGTAAAACTCACTATAAAAGCAGCAAGATTAATGTACCTCCGTAAGTATAAGCGGTTTTTGCAGCCTTGCCTATTCAGATACACTTCTACTTCCATACTCTAAAGGTGTGGAAACATGTATGAGATACACAAAGAAGAGAACACAGGAGAAGCAAATGTGCGTGAATAAGAAACAACCAATTTATCCAAAGTATAAAATAATTAATCAACCGTTAAAATATGTAAAATATGTTTTTAAAAATATGTAAAACGTAAAAAAAATTTAAATAAATAAAATGTATTGAATAAAATAAATTTTTATTTTATTCAATACATTTTATTTATTTAAATTTTTTCTACAGTTTACATATTTTTAAAAACATATTTACATATTTTAGCTAACAAATGGATCTAACAATTAATTAATCTAACAGTAAATAAAATATGCATAAGTTTACTAAAATATATGTAAAATGTAGAAAAATTCTAAATAAGTAAAATATATTTATTAAAACAAAAAAATATTGTTTATTTTTTACAAATGTATTGCGTAAGAAGTAATAATATGTCATGCGTTTTATTCTGTTTTAATTAAAATTGTCAACGTACGTTACTAAACAGTATTTAAATTATTTAATAATCGTCATGTAAAATTCAGAAGTTTAATTCAATTTTATATACATATTCACACACACAATTTTAATTTCTATTAAAATTTATGTCGTTTCCCCAATTTAAAATACATATAAAAATGCTGAATTGATTATTACAAATTATGTAAAACTTACTCTCTGGACTATTTATTCTACAGGTTTAAATAATTTATCGAAATTCAATATTCTTATGATAAAACAAAATTATATAATAACTAACAGCCAAGTGCAATACATGTGTTTAATATTACGTGTACAAAAATAACTATCATAGAAACGTTCCTTTTTTCAATGTAACAATGATAATAACGATATCTTATTTCTAATATGTTTTGATATCAGCTGGATAAGCGGACGTAGAAACAACGCAACTTCGTTACTGAACGTTAGCAAATGGATTTATGTGTGCTGCCGACGAGAATACAATTCACCATCGTGAACCCACATAAATGCAAGTTAGCGAAGAATGCTAGTACTAGTTTTCATAGACAAAAACTAACATGAAATACAGTAACTTTGGCCAAGTATAAACAGCGATTAAGAATCCCGATTTGCAAAAAATACATAATAATTATACTCCTCCGTCCTCTATAAAAATAAGATGTAACCCATTATAGATTTTAGTCTATATTACTTATTTATTTTCTATTAATGTTATTAAA